ATGTGATTTATATCCATTTCTCTTTCTGCAAAAATAATCCTTTCTAAATATGACATTTGTGCTATATGCAAGTTCTAATTTCATTATCTACACACAATGAGAAAAATGACAAGATTATGTATAAAAGATATTGAAGAAATTTAAAAACAAGAAGAAAGAGAAAATTGTCGATATCTATATCAGCAGTACAGTGATTAGAAACATCCGTTACATATCAATATTACTAATAGTAACGTAGTAGAGTGTTGTTGCTGCATTGAGAATGTACAATATTTTACATCCAATGCTCGATTTGAATCCGCATACATCGCTAAATTCTCAGTTAACCGCACGGGTTTCGGCGACATTGATTCACGTATGTCTATTCCGAAAAGCTAGATTTCTATTCATACAAACTAAACAGATTGAATGCGGAAGTGACGTATGTATCGCAAATTATAATAACAAGACACCTGATTTAGGATAAACTTATTGTGTGTAATTAAACAAACTAATTGTACAATTATTATTTTCATAAAGTATTTGCGAATATTATTATGCATGAATGTAATAATAGACATAATAAACATAATAAGAATGGATATATATATATATAATACTAAGTGTATAAATTTTTATAATATACTTTTATAATAGATTTTGATGTAGTTTTATGAACTTTTTGAGATACTCAGAAACTTATTAATTTTTTATTTAATTTTTTTAAAATTCTTTTAGAGAAATATGTTTTTTTAAATAATCATAATATTTATATCATCACTTAAAAAATTGCTAATGACAATTATTAAATAAAAATCGCTAATCATAATTATTACATACAAGATATAAACATACAAGATCCATTTATTAGATCGTATCTTACCTGAAAATTATTTTTAACGAAAAGTATTTTATATTAAAAATATTATTATAAACACAAGTCTTTTTAATAAGATCAAAGTTGCTAAGATCAAAGATTTGTTATATCTACTTTATATAAAAACACTTAATTATCAAAGCATGGAAATTACATTTTCATGACTTTTAATTAAAAGTTTTTTTTTTAGAAAAATATGTGGGCGAAAAAGTGCAGTTTACATTAAACTGTATTTGAATTTTTATTGGAAAGACAATTATGTTATTTAGAATATATAAAAATTCTTTACTACTATATTTATTACTATATTTTATTATATATTTAACACGCAATATGTTAAATTATATTTATAGAAGATATTATAGAATTACTGTAATTTCTTTTAGTTGTAGAATTGTTTCTTGTGTCGCATTTTTCCAATATTTAAATAATAATTTTATTAATATAAAATCCAATTTTTATTGGAAAAATTAACTGTGAACAAATAAATCCATTTTTGAAAAACAAATATTTATTTATAATATATAAGAATTTAGTAATGAATTATGTACATTTTGGTGTATGACAATTATTACACATATTATTTGTTAGAATAAAAATAAAAGATTGCTGTCGATATATGTTTCAACAATTTATCTTGTGAACGTAAAATAAATCGCCTTTAATGTATACCTTCGCTTCGAAGCTTGGAACATGAGAATGTCCCAAATCGACTACAATGCACAGAGAGGATTGACAGCGAGAGATTTAAATGGAATGCGCTTGGTTTCCTAATAGGGAATCATGTTTATTGCCGCTTCTTTCATATACTTTACTACAACAATAGGTTATTAACCTATATTGTAAAAGATATAATGCGAGAAATTGGTAAGAAAAAATAGAAGTGTAAAACACTGTATAATGTAAAGTAATGACAACCAGTCACATTTTTAGCATTTAGAGAAACAGTTAAAGTATGTCGAAACTTAAGATTTACGTTTTAAAAGTGAAAGGAGGCTACACAATGGCTTATATTCTGCCTTCTCTTTTATTAAAATAAAAGTGCCTCTAATTCCCGATTCCATCAATGGAGATTAATTTTAATCTCGGTTCAACTTACTCTTCATCTTTTTCTAGTTTTAAGAATTAGAAGAGCAAGTTAAACCGAGATTAAAGTAAATCTCATAAAAGTAGCTTACAGCAAATTAGAAGGCTTATAACAGGCAAAATCTTCAGTATACAATCATACTGTATTGTGATGAGTTGTAATGTATCTTTAATATTTGAAGAGATAATTAAAACATATTTAGTTTAAGATTCACATTTTAAAATTGAAAGAAGATATACCTTTTTATTACTGTATTAATGATGATTTTATTTCTATTATTATATATTATTATTTTATTTTATTTTATTATTATTATTATATTATTGAACACTGATGCTAGTGAATTAAAAAATTATTGGAAGTTATGCTAACTTTCACGTTTTTGCAAAAAGTACATAATGTATATTGGATTTAAATAAAACAATACATACTCTTTTTTCTTGGTGATATATCCAGATTCTCTCGCTTCTTGTGTAAAAATATGTATGAAAGTATGAAAATTAAATGCATATAATGTATAAATAACAATGATAAAATGATAAAAGTAATAATAAAATATTTCTTTAACAATTAAAACAATCATTTAATTCATTGATGTTCAAAAATAAAAAGAAGCTTAATGAATTAAGCTTTATTAAATTTGTCAAAATAACCCAATAAAAGCAGTACACATGACTATTTTTCACTTAAGCAAAGAAGACTTTAATTTTAATTGAACCGTGAATTAAGTTGAGAATCGACTTCTTATAATCAGGTAGAATTTATATTAAAATAAATATCAAAATCAAATAATAAAATATCAAAATCAAAATAAGCTTCATAAAATAATACACAAATAATACACGATTATTTTAAGTTGAAAAAATTACGTTGAAAATTATTATTAAAATAATCGAGCAATTGTTAATATTAAATATGATTAACTAATTAAATCTAGGTTGTATCATACGGTATTTGAGAAGAGGGATAATATTAATTTATTAATTACCACAAAATCCGCGGTATCGCCTGTCGTGAAAAAAAAAAAAAAAACATATTGTAATGGGGAAAAGAACGCGCATGCTCCCCACGAAAGGGAGGCGCGTACGAGAGTTTGTGACCGGTAGAGTTCCGTGTTCCATTCAGTTTACCGGCACTATTTGCACGGTCCGGGCTCTTCTGAGCATGTATAGCCTCTGACGGGCCGATGGTGATAGGAAACGGATGCATCACGTGGCCGCAACGCCGCCGTCGAAATTCTGGCCGGTTATCATCGGTGCGCGTCGCAACGGAAATCACGAGGCTGTGCACGAGAGTTGCGGAGAACACATGTCTCGGATCATCTGCGAGGACAGCGAGATCGATGATCGACGATCGTTCGCGACGTTGCGCCACGCGAAATTCGGCGATGCGGATTGCACGTCAGTTTCAGTGAATTTTGCGACCGTGAATTCGTTCGCAGCAAAATTGCGAGTGACAGCCCGACCGTGCCGCAATATATATTAATTGCCGGCGCGGCCGGTTAAATTGAAACAAACTGTATTTAATGGGAAACGCAATGGCGAGTATGTACGCTATTCGATTGTGTCTCCCGTTAAAAAGGAAATGAAAATAAAAATAGATAAATCGACGATAGAGCCTCGGTGGTTCGTGGCAGATTGAATCGGCAACTCGTCGGAATCGAATTAATTGCGATCGGGGAAGTTTCCCATAAGAAAAAAAACCGATTAAGGAAATGGCCGATTAAATGCAAATAGAAGCCCTATTAGTTAGCCGATAGTTCATTAAGTTCCGACTCTTTCCCGAGAGAAACCGTTGAACCGATTGTGTTGCTAATTAATAACAAAGTTGATTTACGTGACTTCGAACTTCGATATTGGAATCGTCATACTTAGGAGAATTTTTGCCAAATGACGTGGGACAAATTTTATCAAATGAGAGGGATTGCACGTGGAATGCAGAATCGAATCGCGGCGAATTTAATCGCGCGCGTTGATCGACGAGATCTCGCAGGTCTCGAACACGGATGCTTGCGCGATTATGATACATTCATTGATATTGGTATACATGGAGCATTCTATTTGAAATTGGATGGCACAAATATTTCGAATGTATCTCGAACTCGATTTTCCTCGCGAACTCGAGAGACGCTATGGATATTCCTGTAGAATGCATTCTTACTCCCGGCTTGCCGACTGATAAGTAATTTATTGCGAGAGAAATTATATGAAGTTGGGAACGGAATTGGAAATTGAACATGATAAGTTTTTATCAAGAATAATGAAAAAACGATACGCAAATTCAGTTTATTAAATGAATTAATATATTTTATTTATATATTTTTTTATTACCTTTAATTTAATAAAATAGTTTCAAGATGAAATGTTCAATGAAGATTACATCACTCTATTTGTTGAGTATGACTATTCGTTTATTTTAACAAACAAATGGCATAATTCCATTAAATAGATCACTCGCAGAGCTACATTTAAAGTGCGAGAAAGTTGATAATGTTAATTGCTCGCGTTAATAGAATATAAAATATTAGTTCCCCGGAGCGCGAATTCTCGTCGAACTTATAGAAGATAAACATTCGTTCGAGGCTTTTCGCAAATTAATATTTTCACCGTCTGACCTATTCAACCGAAGTGTTAAAATTGGAGTTCCGTTTTAAGTGAAGAAGCCAATCAGTACCTTTCGCGAGACGGGCAATTTCTCGCGATCTCGTTGAGAGCTTTCCTCGACGCGTCGTATCGAGGATAATTAATGGTGAAGGTAACGCGACGAAGGGCTTGACGATGCCACTTAACGTTGCCGATCCGACGAAAGCGATGGTTACTTTAAATCAAATGATAAGCCGAGTTTGCATTGTGAAATATCGTGCCATCGCACCTCCACAATTCCCGATGGATATTCCTCGATTACATCTTAACGCACTGCAATCCGTCGCCGAACCTTCGCTCGAAATTCCGACGTCGAGAATTGCGGCACGGTCGAAAGTGCTACCGACATAAAATTGAAAGTTTTTTCCTATTGAAAAAACGCAAGAGAAAAACCAACAGCGTTTTGCAAAAACGGCGAACCCTCCGAGTGAAGATATGATAACGTAAACCTGTCAAGTGTACGAAGATACATGAGAAGGGGATTCACGAAATGAATGTAAAAGGTCTCTGAAAGAAAGAAAGAAGAACGAACGAAAAAACTGAAGATAACGCGCAGACTTTTTGACTTCGTGGCTTTTGAAAAACATGTTGACAACGATGTCTACCGTCGCGTTCGAATTGAATTCGTCTTATTACACGACGGCGATAGGCAACAGCGCGCTCGATGGATTCTCAGGTATTATCTATAGACTACAGTCTTGTAAGATGACTTTGCATTAATTACAAATTCTCGGAACACATTCGCGAAATGTGTCTAGAGAATCTTAAGTGTCTCGTAAACTGCATGATTTCAGTAATCGAGCCGGAGAACGCTACTTCCGCGCTGTACATACTGCCTGCCTACATCCGAACAACTTCGATGGTAGCCTGCATTATTGTTATGATTCTCGGCATTGTTGGCAATCTCATGGTAATTTTAACTTGTATTTTGTTAGTGCTAATTATACGATCGCTTCACAATCAACCGATATACCAATAACGTACTTTACTCGTCGCTTTTATTTGCAATCTGTATTATTGCTCTCGGTCCATAGGCCTGTTCTTTATAGCTAAACTTCTCCGTTTATCGTATTTCTTCTCTTTTCTCCACATGGTTCAGTTAAAAAGAAAAACATACTTCAATTATAATCTATTTTTAGAGCCGATTGTTGTAGTTGTCGCGTGTGATATCCTCAGGTGCCGTTAGTCGTGCTGCGGGGTAAGGACATGAGGAACAGCACGAATATCTTCCTGGTGAATCTTAGCGTGGCCGACCTCTGCGTGCTCGTGATCTGTACGCCTTCCGTCTTAATTGAAGTTAATTCGGGTCCACAAGTTTGGCTACTCGGCGAACACATGTGTAAGTCCAAATCGATCACAGAAAAGCAGAAATGCATGACGCACTTTTTAGCGTACCTATTCCTATCACTTCGGCGTGGATGATGGCGCGGTGATCTGTCGACCCGTTAAACCCAAAAATACCAAACAGATTTTCTGAGCAGACGTACGTCGATAGGCTCGCGTCATTCCTCTGGTAAATCCGCGCGCGGTTTGCTAATCAACACGCATATTTCTGTTGCGTCATGAGGGGCGGACGCTCGCTTTATGTCTTATGTTGGAATTTCAGTTCACGGTCGCACGGACATTAATATCGACAGATCGTTCTTTTTTCTCTATATAATATTAGTAGATATAGAGTTACGTAAAAAGCTTTACAGAAAAATTTATAATTAATCAGATAAAAACTTATCAGATAATAACTTTTAGCTAATATCTTTTTCGAATATGCAATGACGCATGAAATGGATTTATGTGAATTTTTTTCGGTATCAATCAGCTATTAAAAAATATATTTGAATAATTTGAAGAGATATACTAATATGTCAAATTAATAATTTATGTATTAATTACTAAGAAATTAATTACTAAGAAATTAATTAATGTTAATGTATCTATATTACGGTAATTAAAATCTTCTCCTAATTATCACTCTAAGGACGCATTAAAGTTATATCGATATGTTTCATAATGTGTAAGAGCGAAATTTTTTTATTCAAGCTCATTTATGTCGGCCATATTAATGGCGTACATATCTTTTACGAAATAGAAAAAAACGTTTTCCTCTTTAGCTGCAGCAAGCAAACATTAATAACATATTATTGGACATTATTTGAAGGATAATTTAGAGTTATCTCATTGTTATATATTTAGAGTTGTCTCATTGACATGGAAAAAGATAAATATGAATCTTTTGTCTAAATGCAATGTTAAAATAAAAGAATATTGTAACTGCTTATCAAAATGGAAAATTACTATGATTTTCTGAACGAATATAAAAAAATCAAATGATATTATCACTTCCGCGATGCAATGATTGTCGTGCATCCCGGAAGTGATAATATGACTTGATTTCTTATGTTTGTCCGGAAAATCATAGTAATTTTCCATTTTGATAAGCAGTCACAATATTCTTTTATTTTAATATATTTATATTATAATATTGCATGATTTCTGATGGATGTGATAGAAATTGTTTTTGTATATTTTCTACTGAAATATTATTACGTGATTGTTTCAAATTTTGTATTTTTTGTAACTTTTTAATAACACTTTTTTTCTTAATTTTATTTTTTACATTAAAATATAAAATATTTTCTACTTATTTTACATTAATAATACAGTTTGATTTTCTATATTTGTTCTATATTTGTTTAAATTATGACAAAGATTTTTTATATACAGCTATAATGTTCCTTTATTTTAATATATTTATTCTTTATTTATATTTTCTTTTTTCTTAATTTCTAAAAACTTTTTTCTAAATTTCTAAAAAATAATGAATTTTTTTAGTTTATTATATTTTTAGTTTATTATATTGATACATTAAAATTTATAAAAAATAACCAATATTGCTACTCTAATATTGGCGACCAAACTATTTTCGAAAAATCAATGTTGTCTATACATGAAACGAGATTAGCCTACTTCCATAGTTACTATTAGTTTCTTGGTAATCTATGTTGTAGAAACATGGGCAGGGAAACACAGACAAAAAGAGGAAGATTCAGAAATCTTCCTGAGAATCATGGTTGATGGTACTACGCGACTACTAAAACTTTCACGAGCTTAGTACGAAGATGCGAAAATATCTCGGAGAGAAAAATGCTATCGACAAAAATAGTTTTGTTCTTTCTGTATCTTACCGCGAAATTAATCGCGGATAAACGTGACATGTCATGCACCGTTGAAAATCGTAATTGCTACACCATTATTAATACTCCTACTACGTGGCTACTACTAATTAAACTCATTCTTAAAACAAAAGTAATCTTTTAAACTAGTACCATTTTTTGTTGCGTTTAATTAAAATGACAATTTTTTCTTACTGATTAATTAGCTAAGAATATCAATTGTTGGATTGAACTATTGCACTCTAACAATTCAAGTTTATCAGAACTAATAAATGAAAATAAGAATTTATAAAAAATTATTTTATTAAGAAAAATATAATATTATTCATTCTATTTCGATTAAACTAAATCACAATAATTTCTTACTTCATACTTACGATAAGTATGTGTGCGCGCGCGCGCGTGCGTGCGTGCGTGCGTGTGTGTGTGTGTGTGTGTGTGTGTGTGTGTGTGTGTGTGTGTGTGTGTGTGTGTGTGTGTGTGTGTGTGTGTAGTAGT